GCCCCCACTCCACCCTCCCGCCCCCTTCATACCTCACTACCCACCCCCCTATCTCAGCCCCTTGCCTCGTACCCCATCACCACCCACCACCCACCACCTATTATCCACCACCCGGCACCCCTCACCCGCCACGCCCACCACCCACACCAACCACCACACACCACCCACCACACACCACCCACCACACCACCCATCACCCACCACCCACCACCCACCACTACCCAGCACCCGCCAGCCACCACTACCCACTACCCACCACCCACCACCTACTCCTCCCCATCATCGTTATCACCATCCTATTATCATTTATCATCGGTTTATCACCTTTATCACCCACTCCCCCAAACCCACCCCTCACCACGCCAGCACAAACCCCCTGCCCATTCACATCCCTCCCCCACCCCACCCACTACCCCCACCCCCACCACGAACCCATTAGGGTCCAACAGGGCTGCGGACACCCCACCCCCTCTCCATCATCTTCATCATCTTCATCATCGTCATCATGTGCATCATCTTCATCATCTTCATCATCTCCATTATCTTCATCATCTCCATCATCTTCATCATCTTCTTCATCGTCATCATCTTCGTTGCCGGTTTCATTGGTTTTAATACCGCTCCCTCTATTCTTAAAGGTAATTTCATAGGTATTGTACGAACCATAATACAATCGATTTATCTTAACTACTATATCAAGAATAGCTTACCACATCGCATCTACATACTTTGTAACCGGGCTTACTATAAAGGCCCCATATGAGGGATCCATAATGGGTTTCTAGAAAGTCTCTCTGTAAGGGATCTATAGTTTTTTTTCTAATGGGTTTCTATAAGGTCTCTACATAGAGGATCTATAAGATTTCTATAAGCAATCTGCAAGGGTTTTCCAAAAGGGCTCCATACGAGGGATCTATACAGGGCTTCCATGTGGTTTCTACAAAGGGTAAGGTAAGGAATATATAGCAGTTGTCTATGAAAGCTCCATGTAAGGGATCTTGTAAAGTTTTCTACAAAGAACTCCATTTGTTGATCTATACGGGGTTTCTATAAGTTCTCTATATAGGGGATCTATAAAGTTTCTATACGAATCTATACAGGCTGTCTATGAGGGCTCCATACAAGGGATCTGTGAAGGGATCTATAGGGATTTTTTCATGGGAATGTATACCTTCGATACGGATAATTGCGCTTTTGTTAAGATCGTGAAGACTATTAACTACGTGATATCCTTCTTGGCTAATGCTGTGATCACATCAGATCTGATATGTATAGAGATACATTGGAAGGCACATGGGAAAACAAACTGACACATTACAGGCCTTCTAATGTGTCATTATTCCTATTGAAACCCTAAAGGCAAGGAACTTATACACTGTAGGGCATCTGTCTATTGGAAGGTCTCTGGGTACACGTAGTATAAATTGACGCATTACAGGCCCTCATGTGTCACTCCACTCCTTCCTATGGAACCTCTATTGCAATGGAACTTTTCCACTAGAAAACCCCTGGACATAATAAACTGACACACTGCAGGCCCTATAATGTGTCGCTCCACCTATGCTATTGAAACCCTACTGATAAGAAATTGATACATCGGAAAGCACTTTTTATGGACATAACAAACTGGCACATTATACCTACTATAATGTGTATCTTCACTTCCTGGGTCTGAACTGGGCAAATTGACATATTACATGCCCTCTAATGTGTCACTCCATTTCTCCTACTGAAACCCTACTAACAAGGAACTTATACACTGTCAGGCCCCTGTACCTGGGCATATCAAATAGACATATTACAGGCACCCTAATGTGTCACTCCACCCACTCCGATTGATCCTCTACTGACAAGGAACTTATACACTGGAAAGTCCAGGACATAACAGATTGGCACATTACATGCCCTGTAAAGTGTTACTCCACTTCCCCTGTTCAAACTCTATTGACTTGGGCATAACGAATTAACACATTACAAGCCCTCTAATGTGTCACTTCATCCCTTCTATTGAAAGTATATTGACAAGGAAAATCCTACTTTGGAAGGCTCCTGGACACAGCGACCTGACACATTACAGACCCTCTAATGTGTTACTCCATTCCCCATGGAAACCTATTGACAAGGAACTTATACACTGAAGCGACCCTGTATATTGGAAGGCCCCTGGGCAGAACAAACTGACACAATATAGACTCTCTAATGTGTCACTCCACTCCCGCCTATCGAAACTCTTTTGGCGAGGAACTTATACATTCGAAAGCCCCCAGACAGAACAAACGAACACATTACAAGCCTTTGACCTGTCACGCCCACTCATCCTACTGAAGCCCTCTTGATATGAAGCTGATACATCGGAAAGCCCTTCTTACGGACAGAAGAAACTGGCACATTGCAGGGGCTATAATGTTTCTCTTCACTTCCTGGACAGGGCGAACCAATACATTACATGCACTCCTCATATTGAAACCCTATTGACAAGGAACTAGTTTGTTCAGACCTGGCTTGCCTCAGTAGATATATGTAGCATATGTAACCCGCATACACGAGAGCCTTACAGAGGCTGAGGCAACGGAAATACGACGGCAATATGGCAGCAATGATTACAGGATTGCTGTACCGCAGGTAGAACAATTGGTACTGTCACGATTGCTTCGGCTAATCTTTCTGTTTGAGTTGGCGTATGTCTTTTTGTGGGGCCTGAATGGTTATAGGCAGTTCACAGTACTCTCCCTCGGGACGTAGGATTCCTAGTTGCAGGGGCGTAGACAATACTTGCTATAATTATTTTTGGTTAAATCGTTTGCAATTTCTGTTCGACTTTGGTTAAATCGTTTGCAATTTCTGTTCGACTGCATTAGTACTGACACTATATATGCAATACCTAATCTATGATTGTAGTGATGCTAACTTACACTAGGTAGGATTCGCAGGGACAGAGATGTAAGCAATACTTACTATAATTATTTTGGTTGTATTGGTGTTATTCGGCTGCCATGAGTTATCAACTGCGATTCGGATAGCACGGGCAGCATTACAAGCTGCTCGAAACGGGCACAGGAGGCGCAAATTTGCTTGCGGCTGCTGTCCCGCATAAGAGTGAGACGCTGCGTATCCTGTGCCAGCGCAGACACGAGGGGCTTACAGAGGCTGAGGCAAAGGAAAGACAACTGCAATATGGCAGCAATGATTACAGGATTGCTGTACCGCAGGTACGACAATTAGTAATGTCACGATTGCTTAGGCCAATCTTTTGTTCGAGTTGGTGTTTGTCTTTTTGTGGGGCCTGGATGGTTAGTGGCAGTTCACAGTTCTCTCCCTCGAGATGTAGGATTCCTAGTTGCAGGGGCGTCGACAATACTTAGTAGAATTATTTTTGGTTCCAGTGTTTGTAATTTCTGTTCGGCTACACTAATACTGACACAGTATATGCAATACCTAATAGATAATTATAGTGATGCTAACTTACACTAGGTAGGATTCGCAGGGACAGAGATGTAAGCAATACTTACTATAATTATTTTGGTTGTATTGGTGTTGCTTTCTGTTTGATATGCATCCTAATGACACGGACCTAGATAAGAAGTATTATAAGTAGTTTGCACGTAGAGGAGGTAACTTACGCTGAATAGGATTCATAGTCGCAGTGGCGTAGACAATACTAAAAAGAAAGATTTTGGTTACACTGTTTGTAATTTCTATTCGACTGCATTAGTACTGACACTATATATGCAATGCCTAATATATGATTGTAGTGATGCTAACTTGCACTAGGTAGGATTCGCAGCGACAGGGATGTAAGCAATACTTACTATAATTATTTTGGTTGGAGTGTTATTGCTTTGTGTTCCATTGGATTCGTAATGATATTGTTATAGGTATTAATTATTAAAATTCAGTTGTCTGTATAGGTGACACTGTATATTAATCAGGTATCAACGTGGCAATGGTGTCAGCAATAATGATAAAAATATTATAGACCTAAGTAATGCTAAACTTTTCAGAGCGTAAGTCTTGTAATATAATATGTAGGAACATATGATTTAGATAGGGATCTTATATTGTATATATGGCAGACTAGTTAAATAGACCCTAAAGGTATCGGGCTCATATATATATATATATATATACATATACATATACATATACATATATATATATATATATATATATATACTGCTTCGCACGAAGTTGACCGCCCGCCGTGATATAGGGGCCCAACGGTCCAAAGGTGTGGCAGGTGGTGCCGCAGGAGGTGTCGGCGGGGTCCGGCCGGTCACGGAGCCCGCACGGCTTATGCAGAAGCAACCGCAACAGAAGCCGGGTTGGCAGACACCAATGCACAGACTGAGGAGTAGCAGCTCAAGCACCGAGGCGTCCCCTGCCAAGACCAGATGCCCGCCGGTGGCAGAAGCCATCCAATCAAGTTCCGGAACGACCACCAGGTCCATACGCACTCCAACTCGTTGCTGACGATCGTCACTCAGGCAAGCCACCCCATGCACCGGGCAGTCGGTGCTGCATGACTCTCAATGCATGGCAATGATCCTCGAGGCATTCCACCCATCATGTCCGTTTGGGTAGGGGGCTTCCCACGAAAGGCTCCCCGTTCGATTCTCACTTGGCACACGTCTCGATTAATGCATGTCGTCCATACACGGAGGCCGTGCAAATCGTCTCTGTGTCGTTCCAATCTTTCGGATGGAAGCGGTGCCTTTCTGCGATCTTGATCTTCCCACCCAGCACTCCGTTGAAAGTTCTGGTCGTGCCGCTCATTGAATTGCCACCCCATCGTAGTGCGTTGTTGGGTCGTTTCCGTTTCTGGCTAAGCTTACCACTCGCTTAGGCGACAGTCCGGAGCCCGGAGCCCGTGAGTGTCTCTCAGCTCGTGCAAACCCTTTTGAGGTATGTTTGACCTGACCCGCATGTAAATCTACGCAGCACGAAACATGATTAAGCCTCTACCGTCAGAGTGCTTAGAGACGCAAGAGGAAGAAGCAAGCCTGCAGAGTGGACCGGATGCAGGCTGTTGACGACTTCGGAAGCTGGGCGGAATGGCAGATGTCCGGGAACCTGGTGCAGTCCACGGGAAACGCTCTGCTCTTTGGCAGCAGCAACCACGGCGAGCCCTTGCGCCGCGCTGCATGACCATGTCGTCATGAAACTCCAGCTGCCTCAGGTAGGAACCCCACCAACATCTGCAAACAAGTGCATGGTGTAGCAACGAGCAAGACATAGAGGAGAGTGACAGAGACAAAGAAATACCGAGCAGGCAGGCAGGCAAGCAGGCAGGCTGGCAGGCAGCCAAACAAGGCACTGCAGATCCCTTGCTAAGTGCACCGTTAGGGTCTTATTGAACAGAGAGCCAGTTCAACCATCCAACGCGGAGCCACTGTTCGCTCAAAGGCCAGCCTTACCGAAGGATTGAAGCTCGGAACCTGGACATCTAACACTCCGAGCACAATATGTTTCAACCCTGCTGGAGGTTTTCCTAGCCGAAGCCGCCGAAAGGGTGGGCGCCAACTTCCATCCACTGTGTATTGAAGACCATAGCCCGCCAAGGACACTCGGACCAGTGAATTACTTCGCGCCTGGCAGTTCACAGGGCTCGAACTGAATCGTTGCATGCATGAAGCTTTCCTACCACTACCACCAGCAGCTACAACCACACTACTACTTCGACAAGTACTACGTCACTGGCCACCATGTCAACTACTACCTGCGTGTACCACGGCTGGACCACGACTACGACGACCAGTCTGTTACCGTCAGCTTCCACAAAACCACTCACGACCGACTCTTGCTTCTTGTCGTCAGGTGCTCAAGAACATCCTTACCTCACACCTATTTGTGGCATTCTCACGATCATGCATTGTGTCTCACGACGACTCACGCATCATGCGCTAGATGACCGCGTTTCCGCTTGATGTCGCTGGCCTCCAGAAACTTGGTGCCGATGCCCGAAAAGCAAGCCAGCTCTTGAAGCTCTGCACGGAGTCGGCTCGCATCGCTCTGAAATAGCCGCACCTAGTCATGGCAGCGCAGACAAAGGTCATCGCACCCAAGATGGAGTGCCGTTCAGGTTCAGAGAAATTCCTTATGCCGTGGAGTGGGTAACACTGGGGTGGAGGTTCAAGCAAACTTCGTTGAACTTGGCCCACAGGCAAGCAAGACGAGCTTCCCGACATGATTTTTTCACATCACTTTACATACGGCAATGCTCTCAATCTAAAGCAACCGCGGTGTGGACATCTAGTCGTGATCAATCTACTGCACAGTTTTTCTTCTGACTGGCTCTCATTGGCTCTCCCAGCCTGCGCAAGCGAAAACGCGCACGTCCGAATCCACGGTCTACTGCGATTTCGGAAACGACGATACGCAATCCAACAGAAAAACACAAAAACAAGACTGATGTTAAAGCATCTTCCCAGTCGTTGCAGAAACAGTGGCGGAAAGGGTATTCAAAGTTTTCCTCCGCCGGATTTCTTCGTATTAACTACAGTCACAACACTAGCCCCGGATGTCGCTGCGAAGTAGGGCGTGCCGAAATTTAATGATATACAGCGATGCGTCATTACCTACAAAAGGGAAGCGTGAAGCCAAGCAAGACATCGAATCCGCGTCCCAGTTAGATGCAGCGATCCGGGGCCAAAGGAGGCGATGGACTCAAGCTCATAAGTCAAAGTCAGCCCTCAAGCTTTCAGGATTCCGGATCTCTGACACTTACACGGTCGCTGGCCCCAGCGCTGCAGCTCAAGTACATCGTCACGTATGTGAAAACGGCGAGCTGCTTTTCTGATGGCAAACTTTGTTTGGAGAAGGTCGGCCAAGTAGGAAATGAGCTTGAATGAACAACGAAGTCCATAAATCATAACGAACCCAACAAGACGTCAACTTCTCGGGCCCGACTGTCCCCACGACGCCTCGTCGCCTTGCTGTTTTTCATGGAACGGACGACTGCCCTTCCATCCCTTGTCCCTTGTCACATAGACTTAGGCCTTAAGCCAAACATCCCCCTCGGACCAACCTCAAGTCCCAAGTCTGTGGGAGATCAACATACAAGTATCTACCAGTCAGCTGGCCTCCTTTATCAGAACTCATATTCAGATTATCTCATGACACCGCAGCGCGGCCATTACGCTCTCGCAACTCGGACTCGCCAGACGAGGTCTGCACAACTAGAACAGACTACATTCTACTCTCCTGCTAGTGCGACACTTACAATGCGGCCATTAGGGACCCTGTTTCCCATTCTCCACCGTATGTCGTCATGTGCTAAGCCGTTTTTAAACCTCTGTCTGTCGCCTATGTCGCCAGAAGGGATTTTCAAAGCTGGTAGTCTCATGATCTTCGGTCCTTGCCGCAGCGACGATCATAACCTGCAAAACATCCCCTATCTCGAACGATCTCCTTGTCAAAATGTAAATGTGCTCTCCCCATTTCCTGTGCTCCGTCACCACCCCTCGAAGTCTGTTGCATTCAAGAGCACAACTTGTCGAAGTTCCGGTAGCTCCACAGTTGAGTCCTGCAACTTACAGTCCACTGGGCTCCAAAGGGTGAGGGGCACATCGCCTCGTTGAAAGTCATGTATCGGAACGGACGTCTCCATGACCCGTCTATGGCCTAAGCACGTCTGCGAAAGGTCTGGGCCCGAGTCGCATCCTGTGTGTCTCCATGTTGCCGTCAAGGTTGGCTACGGCTATGCCCGGTTCAAAGTTAACATCGAAACACTTCCTGCAGGCTAGTCACGCACTGCAACCGCCCTGCAGGAAGACTCGATTGCACGCGCAGTTGCTCAATGAATCCATGTTCCTAGTTCAACCACACAGCATTTTTTCATATTGCTATGCCGAGTGGCCTGCCACAGCTTTGAACTCCAGCTGACGTCCATCCGCACAAAAGAAGCGCAAACGATTCCTCGTGGGAGCATTTTTCGAACACAATTCCGACCCTGTCTTCAGTCAGCTGCAATCAACCGATGTGGGGCTGACGGCTTTAGTCAACATGAGAGCAACTTCACTGCGGCAATGGTAAGTGTCACTAAATGATTATGTATCAAGCATCATCAGCAGAAACCGCAGGACAGTGCAATCGGCGCCCAAACCACCGGGGCGGCTCCATGTCTGATGGCTTCCGGTGCCGGAAAAACTCAAGGAACTAAAAGCATGAACTGAAAGGCTGAGCCAGCTTTGCTCTTCCCGGATGGTGTGGAGGTCCTTCATGTTGCCGTCCCGTTGCTGCATGAGCAAACTCTGGAACAGCACAACCAGATGTCACGCTACAAACAGTGTGGCCAAACTCTAAGATGCCTTGGCATCATTAATTCGACAGCATGAACGGCTGCACACATAGACGGTAACCTTCACTTTAATGTGGGTATCCTGCTGTGGAAGAAAACTACTGTTTTTCTGTTTCAGTGCGAGTAGAAGCAGATGGAGAAGCAGCTTCACATGCACAGCACGTGTAGTAGCCCAACCTTCAGCTTGTTTCCCATGAGAATCGGCTAGGCTGGCATCTCCTGCTCCAGCACACAGCTCAACTGCCGCATCTTGAAACGCTTCGGCGGCAGCCTGTCGTTTCCATGATCTCGGGGCATCCTCAATGTTCAGCGCTCGTGTCCCTTTCACTCTGCGGCTGTGGAGTCTGGGATCCTATGCGACATAAACTGTGACGGGCTAGGCAGCCTCGAGCCAACTCGGGAGCACAACAGCTCATCAGCAGCTCGACTGAATCCTGTTTTTCTCCTGTCTGTCCTCTGCGGAGCTGAAAAGATCCCTAAGGCGAGACACACCGGACCAGAAAGACTTGGGCGTTTTATTGTCTCGTATTGCCAAGCTGTTGTGCTGTCTGTCTGTCTGTCTCTCTGTCGGTCTCTGCCTCTGTCTGTCTGTCTCTGCCTGTCTGTCTCTGGGTGTCCGTCTGTCTCTGGCTGTCTGTCTGTCTCCGTCTGTCCGTCTGTCCGTGTCCTTCTCCGTCTCCATCTCTGTCTGTCTGTCTCAGTCCGTCTGTCTCTGTCCGCCTGTCTTTTGCTTTGCTTGGGGCTTGGGGCGGGAGCAGTCCTCCCGTCCCGCGCAGGTGCGCTGCCCCATCCATTCTTTTGAATGAATGGGCTTGGTCTCTACGCAGTGACCAGGGCGTGTGCTTACCTGTTCAATTCGTGTGCCTTCGAGGTATACCAACTTTGTTGGAATACAGCTGCAAGTCTCGGCTAGTAGCGGCTAGTAGGGAGTACAGTCAAACCAGGTTGTGTGGGGTCCCTCTCTGCTGGTGCTCTGATCGCCCATTTAAGGAGTTTGTTCCCCACATCACTGCGGGGTTTTTGTTTTTATGTTCCGCACCGCCCCACTGTCCGCCCGCCCGCACCCGCGCCCGCCCTCACACACTGCTCAAATCGCACACACCTGGCTGCACGGACGCGCCGCGCATCTCACACACTGCTCACATCGCATACACTGCTCACATCGCACATACCTGATTAAAACGCTCTCTCTGGAGGGCTCTGTGGGATCATGCACGCGCAAAAGCGTCCTGGCCTCCGGAAGAGTCTCACGCGACTAAAACCCTCTCTCTGGAGGGCTTTGTGGGATCATGCGCGCGCAAAAGTATGTCAAGGCCATGGGGCACAAAATGCACGGCAGGCGTGTGCAGCTCTTTAACCCGGAAGCTCGCACGATCACTTATCTTTGACTGCAGGCAAATGAAGGGTGCTAGCTTTGGCGGAAGAGGCACGCCTGGGAGGGAGGGAGGGCAAAACTTCGTCCTTGAGAGGTCACGGCATAAGCATAAGACTGTGCAAGCCAATCCCAACCAATCCGATGCACTCGACATATGCTCAAGGCCATGGGGCACAAAATGCACGGCAGGGCTCTGTTTTCCGGAAGCTCGCACGATCACTTATGTTTGACTGCAGGCAGATGAAGGGTGCTAGCTTTGGCGGAAGAGTGCAATAGAATCAAATCCTTTGTGAAGGATGCTGGGCAAAGAGGCCGTGGCAAACTGCCAGCCTTGGCTCGCGGGAAAAGCCATCAGCCGCGTTGGCGCTGGAGTCAATCCACTCCCGGTACACCCTGGCCCCCAAGCGGGCCAAGAGCAGCTGCGTCAGAGATGCGATGATGCACAAGTCTGGGACGGAACTAGAACCCTTCATAAGGAGTTGGCAAGCTGGTTGGGAATCTATGTACCAAACAACATCACGGCCCCTAAGAACTTCAGCGCAGTTGTCAGGGACGACAACTCCCAGCAGAGGTTCACATGGCACAATCTGAGTTTTGCGAACCTGGAAACGGTTCAAGATATCATCGGTAATGTCTGCACTGAATCCCAGCGGAACACCATGGTTCGCAGGAAAGACAACAAAACCGAGTCGTGCTGGCACTCTCGCATCAGGCTCGTATGAGGCGTCACTGTAGATTCTGACTAGACCATCCTGGGCAGGAGCCAAGGGCACCAGGCGCGGCTGCACGAAGGAGGCGAGGACAGAATGGAACACAAGGCTGTCCTTCAGAGCATCGTCTAACTCCTGCGGTGTGCGAGGGCACAGCGGCCACAGCGGCCAAAGGTGGCCGTTGCTGCCCAACCAAACCGTCCACACAGCTTAACGGCCATGCCAGCAGAAAGGCGGTTCTCGGACAGGATCAAAGCGATCTGATCTCGCAATGTGTCGCGGTAGCCCGGCTTGAGATCCATGCTGATGACCCCAGAGGGCCGGCTGCGGAGAGATTCACGGAGAGGCCGAGGAAAGTCCGTGCAAAAGCAGGCGGCTGAGATTTGGCAGGGTCCAATGATCCCTGCAGGGGAATTGCAGGCCCTCAAGGTGGCCTGCCCCGAGCCACGAGCACACAGCATGTCACTACAAGCCATAATCATCAAAAAACTTCAAAACGGCAGTAGCGGTCATGCGTCTGCACATGGCTGAAATGAGAGCTGGCGTTCTGTTAAAACAAAGTACGCTGGAAGAAAGCCCGAACGGCAAGCCTTGCAAAATCAAGAAGCGATGCTCATTGGCCTGAACGTCCCAGTAGGCCACGGTGGACACGCACAAGTGCCGGGGAGACACCGGGCACTGCCTGTCAGCATACTTCATGTCTTCAGTGCCAAGGACGAAGGCCAAAAGACCCGGAAGCACCTCGAGAAGGTTCCCTTCTAGTGCCGCCTTGCATGTACTGCGTAGCAGGGGCAAAAAGGTGTCAACTGAAGAAGTGAAAATGGTTTCACGCTCACGGGTGGCGCTGTTATGTCCCGGCTTCTTGCCACTGTCAATACACCGTAGTTTCGCATCCCCTTGTTCCAAGACGAAGCGTTCCAGGGGGCGCCATTGGCCCATGCCAAACATGGCATTGAGTTCATCCTCACGAAAAGGGCCGAGAGCATGGCCGAGTTCAACCTCTTCAAGGCAAGCCTGCCGAAGTTGGGCATCCAGGGCACTTGGTCGCACTCGCGTTTTCATGCAACGTAAGTTATCCAGTGCCGGCTGGTTGAGCAGGCAATCAAGGCCGTGAGGACCGGACAAATCCACATCAACAGGCCTAAACAGATGTGAGTGCTCAATCTCGCCGACAATGTCGTGGCCGGTGACAAAGCGGAGTGCATTTGTTTGTTACATCTGGCCACCTGAGTAGAAAGGCTACCAAGAGGAGAAAGGCAGGTTTCTTGAAGCCTGCAACCGCTTTAACAGAAGAGCTTTCTGGGCAAGTTGTGTATCGCTCGAACTTGGCGGTTACGCCAGGAAGCAAGACACGGACCAAGGGAGGCCATGGCGCGTGCCGTGAAGCACAAATCGTCATCAAGAGGTGCGCGCTGCATGAAAGGGGAAGAAAGGGCAGCTTTTCGAAAAAACGGTTACAACCCCCCCTCCTGGAACTGTGATAGCTTTGGAGATGGTCGCAAGTGCTTGGCATGGGTCATCTCCACGCGGAGGTGGTACTCGTAGGACGTACGAGTTGGTTGACCTGATCCTCAATTCGAAGTCGGCGCGCGCTCCACATAGCACGCACTGCCCTCCCTCCTTGTGCGGCAGTGGGGAGCAGGACCCCGTCTTGGTCCGAGGAAACTCTGTCCTTGCAACACGTCCCGTGCCTGCTGTGGTTCCGCGTGCTGTGATGTAGTCGATTCGCCGTGGCTGCATCTGCTGGTTGTAAGGGAAGTAAGTTGAAAGTGGGAAGGTGGATTTGTTGTGGGGGTAGTGTGAGGTTCTGTTGCAGCATCCGCACTGGAGTATCAGATCCCCCCTGCCTGTATTAGCTGTTCCACCCGCGGTGTGTTGGCTGACGTTGCTGAAGGTCTCGTTTGCTGCATACCAATGCAGGCTTTAGCATGGCCTGCCAATTGCTCCCCCCATTGTGCCAGGATCTGCTCTGTTGCTGGTATGGTAGCATGGTGCGGGATGTGGCCTGCGAGGACTCTGAAGGTGCTGTGGGTCTGCTTGTTCGCCCTCTCTTTTCCCATAAACCAATTGCCAATGATCAGATTCATCATGGAAAAGGCCCGAGCTCTGTGATAATTTCTTGCACAAAGACGACGTCAGCGCACGTCAGGTCTGCACTCTCCCCGAAATCATCGAGGATGTCCAGCAACCGGCTTCGCTCCCCCCGGCAGGGCGAAACCGTTCTCCAGGGGTCCAGGATTTTCGTCTCAGTTAAGCTCTGCTTTAAGCGTCGCCCAAACCGGATCGATCTCCTCTTTGGTGTTGCGCGTAGCTGTAGCGATGGTATTGAGCTCCACCGATCCAGCTCCAGCATCTTCGGCCGCCCCAGGTTTTGGAGCGGACCCCGAGCAGACTTACTGTACCTTACGGTCCACCCAGCCAGGCACTGCCTGTGCTGAGCTCCATCTGAAGTATCTCCTTTTCCTCCCCCCACAGCGAGGTACAAGCGCTCCACCTTAGCTGCCAGACGAGCTCGGCGACGTCGGTCAGGTGGCTGTGCCATACTCGGCGTGGAGCGCCATTTTCGCACGTCCCGAGGTGCACGTTGGCCCCCCTCACTTTGTTGATAACTTGCGGGAATTCGTAGACGCCTTAACTCGAAGCTTTCCCCATCCTTTCATCAATGGGAAGGATTGCATATCCAGATGGAGTCGAAGTTGATAGCAAAATATCCAGCTGCATCTTTCGTAGCGGACGCCTCCTGGTCTGGGTTCCATCCCCCTATCACGAGAGCTGGTCTTCGGCCATATTCCGTCCCTGTCTCTCTCTGTCTCTTCGCTTTGGAAGAATCCGCTTGTCACGGACCCGCGCCCAGGAGCCACCTTCCGCGACTCGGCGGTGGAAGAGGCTTTGAGGTCTGCAAGAGTAGGAAATTGTCCCCCCCCTTTAGATTTGGCGAGTGGTGCGTGCCCGCTAAGGACCCAACCCTGCTGTGTCTCTCTTTGCTTTGCTAGGGGCTTGGAGCAGTCCTCCCGCCCCGCGCGGGCGCGCTGCCCCACATTATTGGAATGGATGGGCTCGGTCTGTACAAGGAAATTGGGTGCCTCTGTGTTTAAGAGGCGAGTGGATGGGTCCCCGTCGGGAGGCAAAAGCAAGTTGTGATAACAATACGTGGTTCCCCATGCCACTCGGTTCTTGTGCGCGGGTTACCCTTGCGACTGCCTCTCTCGGGAAACGGCAATAACTGGCGATTAGGTAGAGTACTGCGGCAAACTAGCGAGTCGCAGGTGCCCCTCTGTGCTGGGTGCCCTGCCTGAACCTGTGGCCCGCCTTTCAACCCTGTCTTATCCCGAACAGAAACCTGATGCTGGCGCGACACTGCCTTCGACCTTCCACTCGACCCTGAAGCCTTGCCACGGAAACCTTTCTGTTGCAGGAGCAGCAACACGTTTGGCAGAGAGGTGTGCCGGGTGGGCCCCGGAAAAGCAGAGCGGTTTGTTCACAACAAAATTGGGTTAGACCAGGCGGAACGTGTTCTCCCCTCTGCCTTTTCGGAGTTGTGCCCCTTACTAACTACTTTTGGTACGCTAACCCAACCTACCTGCCTGACCCTGCCGGAGCCCGAACGGAAGCCTGATCCCGCACTGCCTCCGACCTTCCACTCGACCCTGAAGCCTCTACTGCTATCTGGTTGGTGAACAAGGCAGGGTGGCAGGACCGGGGCAGGGACACTAGTACGGCAAGTAGCCTGCGGCGCCTGTGGCACAGTCGTGGCAAGCTTGTCCAAACAGAGCCAAACACGTCTGCATTTACAAGCCCCCCTCCCCCCCTTCCAGCCCTGGCCCTCGAATGCACTTCCAACCCCCCCCACCGACCAAGGGCCAGCAAGATGGGGGATGTAGGCCACGTTTCACCGCTGATGGGACCAGCGGCATGGATTTGGGCGGCGGTGGGATCAGGTTCCCCCTGGGCCGGCACTGCCTCCAAGTATTCGATCCTTGAGAGCCACTTGCCTGCTCGCAGGATCGTGTGTGTTGTGGTGGTCCGTTGAGAGTGTGGTAGTGTGGTGTCTTGTTAGGCTGAGCGCCTCAAGGACACCTTGGGTCGCCCGAGGCTTGCGGGTGCCCGGTGTCTCGGTGCGATGGGGCCTGTCCCGCCTGCTGTGCGTGTGTGGCGGGCTCGGTTGTGTGTGGTGGTGCCTCGCCTTGGCTCTGCTCTTGCTGTGGTCGCTCGGGCTTGTTGGTTGCACCCAGGGGTCGGTGCTGTGGTCGTATGTCGAGGCGTAGGCAACTCGATGCGGGCCGTATGGCCGAATCGGCCCGGTGGCTGCTGCAGCTGAGGGTGCTGGTTGTGTGGCTGCGGGAGGGCTGTGGTCGTCGGTTGGTGGAGGCTGTATGATTTGTCCCTGTGGGGATCATCCCAGGTTGCTGCTGCTGTCGTAGGTCGCGAAGCCGAAGTCTCGTGCCAGCTGGGCTGCCGTGTACGGTTGTTGTGTCACGGGTTGTTGTTGAGTGGGTTGTGGCAGTGTCTGTTGCTTGTAGAGTTCGCCGAGTGCCTTGGCGATTGTCTGTGCCGGGCTAGGCGGCGGGGCTTGGGTGAGCTGCAGGACCCCCCTGGAGGGTGGGTTCTATCTGCCTGGGAAGCTGGTTGTTGTGTCCATGGGTCAGAGGCCGGGTCGTAGGGGGAGGGTATTGGCCTGCCTGCTGCCAGTGGTATGTCTGTGGGGTGCTCTGTGTGCTGGGGCCGCGGTTGCTGTGGGGGGTGTGGTCCGACTGTCGGCGGAGTGTGTTGGGCTGCTGGCTGGTGGTCGTAAGCTTGTGGCTGTTGTGGCAAGGTTGCCTGGGTCTGCGGTAGTGCTGCGGCCGCCTGGCTCCATCCTGCTGTGTGGCCGTCTGGGTTGTGCTGTGCGCCTCCTTGCTGGTGCGTCTGAGCCGCCGTTTGCGCGTGTGGGGCTGCTGGTTGGTGGTAGGCCGTCGGTGGTGGTTGTGGCTGTTGTGGTTGTTGGTTGCATCGAGGCAGGCGCGCTGCGGTGCATTCTTCACTGCTGTGCTGCCCCTCGTAGGTCTGCGGCGGCTGCTGTGGCACTTGGCTTACTGGTGGGAGCTGTCCTCCTGCTCCCCCGCTGCGGCTGTGGCGGTCCGTTGGCACTGGTGGCAGGGATCCCCCGACCGTCGCCGTCTGCTCCGGGCTGGGCGGTGGGGGCCCCGCCCCGCTTCCATCTCTACCACCTCTTGGGCCTCTTGGGTGGCCCATTCTTGCCCCACGCGGGCTCTCTTCCTTGGACATCTTGTTGTGCGGGGTGCCCTCCCCTGTAGGTCGAGCTCGCAGCTAGGCAGCACAGAAAGGCCGCCCTTCTCGAACCCATGGTCGCAAGGTGTGGTTACTGGGGCCGCTGCTGAGTGGCGATGCTGCAGCATCTCAAGCTAGGGGGGTGTACGTGTTGGGGGGGGGGGACCCCCTAGTATACATTTCCGGGCCCTTACTGTGTAGCCCGACCCCCCCACATTATATATTTCTGGCTCTCTTGCTGGTATGTCCAGGATCTGCCCGTGTATCGCCAACCCCCCCACAGAATACATTACGGACCCCCCCACATAATACATTTCCAGCCCCTGTGTAGTTTCAAGAAGTTGCAATGCCCGGTTCAGGGCTTGTATGCTGCTCGCACGAACAGCGCAAGCAGGCATGCACAGACTCATGATTGCTACCGTGTCTGGAGACACTGCTCGGGGATTTAGGGTCTGGGCTACGGTGCCAGGGTTGTGGAAGACATGTGCAGGTGGGCTACGGCGTGGATGCAGCACAAAAGCAAAAAACATCCCTTGCCTTCTCTTTGCTCACCACTCGAGCTGCTGCTGCCGCTCGTCCCGCCAGCTCAATTCATTATGATCATGCGGCGTCGCGACCGGGCAACTCTTGCAGCGGCGATGGCATTGCCTGCGACACCTCACGCAAGGACTGCAGGATCTTGCGTTGCGTCTGCGACAACAGCACCAGATCTAAAACCGTTGGACATAAGCAAAAACCGCCACTTCCGCAGTTCGTCTGCATATGCTGCTGTGTTCCGGCGCCCCGGCAGATGC